TTTCCTATCAAGCATTGTTGCCTCCTTTGTTTTTCCCCTACCATCCTTTCCTCCCACCTCCCCAACTACACTCACCTCAACCCGCCACCCCCGCCTAAATTGTAAAGTTCATTTTCCACATAGCGTCTTGTACATCTCATTGTTGCAATGGGTCAAACTGTATCCCTATTTAAACATTTTGTTTTTTTCCCTTCCCGTCCCCAAGTTAGAGAAGTGTATATAGAAGATGCAGGGCACCCACATCAAATACAGTGAAAACAGGGTAAACAAAATGCCTGGAGGACGAGGGCCTGCACTGCCTGGACCGTGGCTCCCGGAAGCGTCTCCAGCCTCACCTCCTCCACCGACACGGCCACGTCCTCAGAGGCCTTCGGGTCTACACAACCAGGCCTCGACCACAACAGACTCCCCTTGGCTCGCCGCAACCCGTCCCTGCTGCGCATGGTGCTGGAGGCGCTGCAGGCGGGGGAGCGGCGGCGGGGCCCGTCGGTGGTGGCCGTCAAGGTCTGTATCCTGCCCAAGTACCCCACGGTGGACGCCACCCACTTCAAGTACCTGCTGAAGCAGGCCCTGGACACGGGCATGCGCCGTGGGCTCCTCACCAGGCCTGCCAACTCCAAGGCCAAGGGAGCCACGGGCAGCTTTAAACTGGTCCCCAAGAGCAAGAAGAAGAGCTGGCCCAGGAAGACCCCGGCCCCGACAGCCCCCCAGAAAGCCCAGGAGCCGCAGCGGGGCCCCGACAATGCGGGCCTCCGTCAAGGCAGTGGAGAAGCGGGGAGCAACCAGGACGGCTCCTCCTAAGCCAGGGGTCGTGGCCAAGGAGAAGGCCCCCAAGAAAGTGAGATGGCGGTCAGTGGAGCAAAGCTGGGGGAGGCCACCAAGGCCCCCCCGAAATCGGACAAGGCTGTTCGGGCCCCTCCCAGTGCCAACGGGCTCAGTGGAGAGATGAAGGTCGCAGGCGGTGGGCGCGGTCAAGGAGCTGCTGAGGCCCACAGGAAGATCAAGGCCGAGGGGGGACTGGCCAGCAAGGTCCAGAACGGCACCGCTTCTCCCACCAATAGGAAGATGACGGCCTGGGCACCTACTGGGGCGGGGCCTCCCGCGGGGAGCAAGCCCAAGGCCCAGTCCCCGCACAGGGCCAGGAAGCCCGGGCTATCCACCAAAGCCGCCGCCTCCAAGGCATCCAGCAAGAAGGCGGAGGCCAGGAACTAGGGCTAGGCTGGCAAGAGATGGTGTTTCGTGTGATCTTTTATTCCCCAGCAAGCCATGGGTCTATTTAATTGTAACTTATTTATCAATAAAGAGTACTTTTTATTTTTAAAAAATTCTAAGTTTGACTTGAGCAATTGATAGAATGTATGACCCCATATGTGTTGGATTTTACTATTTATGAAGCAAAAAATGCAGCCCTATTGCTCTATTGTAAAGGTTTGGATGAATAACATTCATGTGAAGTACTGAAATCTTTTGAGTTATGTACAGGTCAGAAGAAGAAAACCATTGCTTTTGTAATGACTTGTTCTTAGTAATGCTTCTGCAGTGTATCCTAGGGGTGTTTCACTAATGTGAAAAGCCATCTAGAGAGCAAGGAAATGGAGCTTAGTAATGGAGATTTTTTTTTTTTCTTTTCCCCCTTTTTTTTTGGTCAGTAGTGGGGCCTGAACTCTGGGCCTGGACACTGTCCCTCAGCTCTTCAGCTCAAGGCTAGCACTCTACCACTTGAGCCACAGCATCACTTCTGGCTTTTTCTGCTTCTGTGGTGCTGAGGAATCGAACCCAGGCCCTCATGCATGCAAGGCAAGCACTCTACCACTGAGCCGCCTTCCCAGGCCAGTAGCAGAAATTTATGAACATGAATGAGGCCCTATTTTTCATCTCCAGCCCATAAATTTAAAGTTCAGTTAAATAAATTAAAAATAAAAAATAAAATAAGATAAATTGCCTACATTGTGTAGCTCAGTGGTAGATTCAGATCCTGAGTCCCAGATAGATAGATAGATAGATAGATAGATAGATAGATAGATAGATAGATAGATAGATAGATAGAATAGATACTTGTCATCTGAGACGCCGAAGATTCCAGGTGAAATCCTTTGAATTGTTTACTGAATCGTGTGAGAATTTTTTTATGTGTAATGATAACATGTCTTTCTGATTGCCTTTATCTTCACACATGAAGATATTGAGGTATAGAAACTTGCCCAAGATCTGGAGTGCATTCTCAAAGAGAGAGAAAGAACAAGAAGAAAAGGCAATTCAGACTGATTTTTTTAATTATTCTAATGAAGAAGCTACAGTACAACCTTAGAGCTAGAAGGGTTCAAAGAATTCAGAAGCCTTGGCTTGAGTTGTCATATCAGGACTTTAACATCACAGAGCATTCCATCATTCAAAATACAGCCATCTACCCTAATATACCAGAGAAGTATTTTTAAAGACATTTGAGATAGGGAGTGAACTTATTCAGGATTCTTCAGGAAGGAAGGCTGTGTCCTACTATTTTTTAAGTATAACTTTCACTGACAAGATCAAGCCAGAGAAAGCCTCTCTGGCTCCTGGCCCAGCCAGGCAAGGTTAGAATTACTGAAGAGTGCTTACCATGCACTGCCCCAGGACAGCACCATGGAGAGACAAGCACAAGTGTGTGCCGGGTGCTGCAGTCACTAGCCTTTGCTGTTCTTTCAACTGTTACAAAGGAAATTTCAAAATAGCCTTGAATTTGAGTCTTTCTGAAAGGTGAAAGGATGACTTCAAGTTAAAAAAATAATAATGAAGTTATTCACAGCTGCCTCCTCAGCAGCTAACATGGGGCCTGGCTCTTAGATGCTTAGGGGTTTTTTTGTTGGTTGGCTGTTTTTTTTTGAAAGAAGACTCAGTGTAGCCTTGTCTTTTTACCTTTGTCATATTTCAGAAGAGTAGTTTTTGTTTCTCCATTGATGAGTATCATTTGGTATTAGAATAAATAAAAAAAGATTCATTGAACATTCAGAAACCCAGATTTTTGGAAGTAAAACACAAATAAGCATTTTAGAGGTGAGGAAGGAACTTACTGAAATCCAGGGATCATTGTGAAATTTTGAAATTTTTTGCTCCAATAAGTTGGAAAATCTGTTGTTATACTTCTAGTAATAAAGCCTATGGTAGCTATTTATAGAATAAATTCCATATTATTTTGTTTTCTTTTACCTAGAAGTAAGTTTATTTTTCCCTCACTATTGAAGGTTATTTCCAGTGGGAAAAGAATTCTTGGGTGACATTTTTCTACTCTTAAACCCCTTAAAAATGATTTTCTAATGGCTCTGTTCTATATTGTTTTGACTTAAGAGTCATTGGTCACTCAGATCCTTGTTCTCTGTAGGGAGTCTGGCTGTTTTCAATTTTTTGGCAGTACTTGGGTTTGAACTCAGGATCTCACATTTTCTAGGCAGGTGCTCAACCATTTTGAGTAATACCAGCCAGCCCTTTTATACTGTATTTATTTTACAAATTTGATCTTGTTTACCCTGGTTTTGCCTGGGTGTGACCTTGGATCTTGATCCTCCCAATTGCTGCCTTCTGGGTAGGTGGGATTATCAGAATGAGCCACTCCACCTGCTTGAGATTTCCTGTACTTGGGTTTCAGCACTTTGACCATGAATCTAAGCATGGTTTTTATCCACCTGAAAATTCACTGAGATTTTTTTTTTTTTTTGTCTGTCGTGGGGCCTGAACTCTGGGCCTGGGCGCTGTCCCTCAGCTCTTCAGCTCAAGGCTAGCACTCTACCACTTGAGCCACAGCACCACTTCTGGCTTTTTTCTTTTTGTTTATGTGGTGCTGAGGAATTGAACCCAGGGCCTCAGGCATGCAAGGCAAGCGCTCTACCACTGAGCCACCTTCCCAGCCCTTCACTGAGATTCTTAATTGTGTATATTTGTTTACCAATTCAGAAGGCTTTGGGGCCCTCGTTTGTACTCCATTTTCTTTTCCTTCATTTTAATTATACAAATCATAGTCCTTTCAATGTTATTCCACCAGAATGATCTTTTGGATTTTGTTATTTTTTGTATGTTTTGTTTTATTTTCCAGTCCTGGGGCTTGAACTCAGGGCCTGGGCACTGTCCCTAAGCTTCTTTTGCTCAAGGCTAGTGCTCTACCACTTGAGCCACAGTGCCACTTCTGGCATCCTCAGATCTCAGCCTCCTGAATAGCTAGGATTACAGTCATGAGCCACCAGTGCCTGGCTACACATATCTGTCTTACTTAGGCTTTTTTCCTAGTTCTGATTTTCCCAAATAAGTAAGCTGAAATATTAGCTGCAATAAATCATTAGGAAAGTTCAGCTGACTAAATTCAGCTCTGGACATACTTCTTTGCTAATAGCTCACCTCATATTTTAAAGGTTACTACAGAAAGTAACAAAAAAATATTTTTTGATAAATGTGAATTGTGTGTACATTTCCCTAAAACAGATAGTCACTTTCTACTCACCTTACATTGCTGAGTAACAGAAATTCATCATGGAATGTTCATTTCTATTTGCAGGAATATTCTAGACAGTGTTTTTGTCCTTGAACTAGATTCTAGACTCCAGCAGTTTGGGTGTTTTTTTTTGTTTTGTTTTGTTTTTGCTTGTCCTGGGGCATGAACTGTGGGCCTGGGTGCTGTCCCTTAGTTTCTTTCTTTGTTTTTTTTTTGTTCCCTTACTTTCTTTTTGTCAAGGCTAGCTCTCTACCACTTGAGTTACAGTGCTACTTCCCGCGTTTTTTAAATAGATGATTTGAGATAAAAATCTATGGAGTTTCTGCCTGGGCTGGCTTCCAACTGTATCCATAGATCTCAGCCTTCTGAGTAGCTAGGATGATGAGGTGAGCCACTGGTACCTGTTTCATCTAGAAATTACTTGATTTATTAACTGTACACAATAGTGGGTTAGGTTCTATCTATGATACTGAATGTCCCCCTCCTTGATGCCTTTGATATGGAATGTCAGTTCTCAGCTTTGTTACTCTTATCTGTCTAGGCTTTGATGCGGCCTGGAAGAATTGACACAATCATCTATGTGCCTCTACCAGATGGAGCAACAAGAAAGGAAATATTCACCTTGCAGTTTCGCTCAATGCCTATCAGTAATGAAGTGGACCTGGATGAACTTGTCCTCCAAACGGATAAATACTCAGGAGCAGAGGTAAGAGCACCGCCCTCACAGTACTAAAAACATGCTTAGCATCCCCAAGGCTTGGGGCCCAGTCCTTAGTAGCAGAAAAGCAAAACATAACCAAAAGCTAGCCCTACCAGGATAGTTCATAAGACTCTTATGTCTAAATAACCACCAAAAAAGCCAGAAGTGGAACTGTATCTCAAGTGGCAGAGCACTAGCCTTGAGCCAAAAGCTCAGGGACAGCACCCAGGCCCAAGGACCAGCATCAAAACAAACAACAACAACAACAACAAAGCTAGTAAAAGATCCATCTTCCTTAACTGTAAAGATGTATTCACAGCAAGAACTGCAAGGCTTCTGGGAATATACCATGCTTTATCTTATGGCAGATACACATTTTTTTTTTCTCTATCTAGCAAATCTTTACTTCAAGTTTTTTTTTTTTTTTGCCTACAAAGTAAAATTCCATTAAATGTACAGCTTTTTGGAATGCATTTTTTTTTTTTTGTCGGTTGTGGGGCTTGAACTCTGGGCTTGGGTGCTGTCCCTGCGCTCTTCAGTTCTACCACTTGAGCCACAGTACCACTTCCGGTTTTCTAGTGGTTAATTGGAGATAAGAGTCTCACGGACTTTTCTGACCAGGCTTGCTTTGAATCGTGATCCTCAGATCTCAGTCTCCTCAGTAGCTAGGATTACAGGCGTGAGCCACTAGCGCCCGGCTCGGAATGTATTTCTTTGGCCGGACTTCCTACCTGCCTTCTCTCCCTCCTTCCCTTCCCCCTTTTCTCAGTGCTAGCACTCTAGCCACAGTGCCACTTCTGACTTTTTCTAAGTAGCTTATTGGAGATAAGAACTTCATGGAATTTCCTTCCCAGGATGGCTTTGAACCATTATCCCCAGATCTTAACCTCTTTCTCCACCACCATTTTTAATTTCTTTGTTTTGTTTAAATAGTTAATGCAAGCATTAGAAGAACTGCTGTTTCTTTTTTTCTTTTTTTAATTTTGAAAATTGAAGCCATGGCATCGTGGCTCACTTCTGTAATCCTAGCTACTCAGTAGGCTGAACCTGCTGATCATAGTTTGAAGCCATCCTAGGCTGGAAAGTCTATGAGACTCTTATCTCCAATTAAGCACCCAAAAAAGCCAGAAGTAGAGCTATGGCTCAAATGCTGTGGTAGAGTGCTAGCCTTTAGCAGAAAAAGCTCAGGCGTAGCACACAGACCCTGAGTTCAACCCCAAAAAAAGCCACACACACACACACACACACACACACATACACACACACAGAAAAAAAGAAGTTGAAAATTGATAAATAGTTAAGTTGATAAAACTTAGCTTTAGGTAAACTGTAAGATCTGTTTTTCCTCTTTTTTTCCATCAGAATGAAAATGCTACTACAGTAAAAGCCAGGATTCATTTTCATATTTCTTAATAGTAAAATAAATCCCAAAGTCCAGTTACCTTGTACAACTCACTACTTTATAAACTTTATAAGCGTATATAAACACACTACTTTATAAACTCTAATTTGTTTCCGTCCTAGACTTCAGGCTGTGTCCTTTAGTCAGAATATAAAAGCACTTAATAAACAGGGAGAAAAAGGAAAATACAATTTCAATTACACTTGAGAAAAATAGATTTCCAAATGTTTTGTCATAGGAGGACCTCCCCAATTAATTTTCAGTTAATTGCCTTCACAGGAAGTAGTATATTCTTCAAAAATAGATACAAATAATGTAAGAATAAGAATTTGGCCAGGTTTGCTGAGATGAGCACATTCCTGGCACTCAAATGGTTTTTTAGAAGCAAAATGTTGAAGTGTAATGAACATTTGTTTTTATTTTTAATTAAAAAGTTGCAAAAGATGATTAAGGTGGCAGTGATGTTACTTTTAATGACTGGGATTACAGGAAAGATACTTAGGAAAATATTTTCATTTCATCTAGTGATTCATTTGTTCAGTGAACATTGTTCTATAAAAGAGCCCACAAACACTCAGCATACTTGATACCCGAAGTCTCCATTTGCCTTCCCCAAGGAGGATATCCAAAGAAGAGAAGCAGTCTTGAAGCCCCAGATGTGTGGGAAAGGAAGTTCCTTGGCAGCCCAAAGGGGAAGAAGCCAAACGGGTCAGGCAGCATCTTTCAGCCTTTCTCTGCCTCCTGCCACTCATTCCCCTGTGGCCACCACCATCATTGTCTTTGGCTTCCAGTCATAAATGGAAAACCCCATTGCCAGTTAAAAAGTAGATGGGAATTCGACTCAAGAGGAAATAAGTCTTTTTTTGGTTATGGCTATTGTTTTCTTTTGCTTTGATTTTTATTTTTAAGCTATTTCTAGCAGATTCCACTTTATTCATTTGTCTTTTATCAACTTACGCTAGTTACTTTTAGAAAACTTTTCTCTGACAGGAAGCATAACCATGACAAATGTGCATACATGAAAGCCATAACTGGGCTCATTCCTCTGTCTGCCCTATGCTTGGGAAGGGAGGTGATGATTAAAATACATAATTTCCTCTGCATAGGAATGTACTGACAGTTGAGTTTTTATTTGCATTTGGGTATTGTCTTCCTTTTAGTGATTATCTCATTAAGTGGAATTGGTAACGCACATGGTCCTCAGTTTAGGATGGTTTGACTTACAGTCTTTAACTTTCTGTCTGGTCAAGTTACAGATATTTAGTAGAAAACATAGTTTGGATTTTGATCTTTTCCCAGCCTGCAAGTAGCAACAAACTTCAGGTGGTCTCCCTTGAGGGGTTGAGCACTTGTGGAGCCACACACACCAATGGGAAACAACTGATATTCTCTGGTGTGCTGTGTTCTAAGCTTCTATCCTCAGTAGGCAAGAAATGTTAAGTACATCTCCAACTTCAGATATTCTCAATTTGGGATGAGTTTACCCAGTAGTAACCCCATCAGAACTCAGGGGCATCTGTATCTCCCCAGGAGCCTGGGAATTCACTATATGTAAATAGATGGTTGATCAAAGTGTTTATATCAAAACTTGAACATTCACCTTCCAACCAAGACAATCAAATGGATGAAGTGATTTGGTGTTATAGTTGAATAGCCTTTTTGTTTTTGTTTTTTTGGCCAGTCCTGGGACTTGAACCCCTCAGGGCCTGAGCACTGTCCCTAAGCTGCTTAACTTTTTTTTTTCTTTTTTTTTGCCAGTCCTAGTGCTTGAACTTAGGGCCTGGACACTGTCCCTGAGCTTCTTTTAACTCAAGGCTAACACTCTACCACTTGAGCCATAGATAGCACCACTTTCAGTTTTTTCTGTTTATGCGGTACTGAAGAATTGAACCCAGGGCTTCATGAATGCTAGGCAAAGTACTCTATCACTGAGCCACATTCCAAGCCATCCCTGAGCTTTTTTTGTTCAAGGCTAGCACTCTACCACTTGAGCAACAGCGCCACTCTGGCCTTTTCTGTGTATGTAGTACTGAGGAATCAAACCCAGGACTTCATGCATGCTAGGCAAGCACTCTACCACTAAGCCACCTTCCCAGCCATTGAGTAGACTTTTAATAGCATCTTGGCTCCTTTTTTATTTTTCTTCCAAGATAGCCTACAAGTTATTTAACTTTTTTGAAACCTATTTTCTTTATTTCTAAAACCTTTTATGTGATAGAAATTGCTTTGAGGTTTAAAGGGGATAATAAATTTAAAAGCACCAAGAAACAAATTCTGACACATAAATAGCATTTCACATAGGTGATTGCCTTTTACCCTTTCTGCTTAGCAGTTCAATATTTATTATGTCCACCACTAAAATGTGTATTTTGTGTTCTAAGCCTTTTTGGGGTCTAATATTAAATAGCTACGGTCTTCATGCCAGTTTGATGTTTTTTAAAAAATCACCTTTTGGTGTGCCTCATTAATTCAAGAAGTGTTCTGTTCATCATGCTTGAGCTGTTATAGCTAATAAAAGGAAAGCCTTAAATTACTTTTCTGTCTTGCTAATTAACGTTCCTTTTGACATCTTTTTTCTCTCCCACACAGTGAAAACAGGAAGAGCAATTATAGCCACTTAGAATGTCTGTGCTCTTCCTGCTTCTGAAGTCTCTTCTGACAGTATTCCCCAACTAAGAAATCAGAGCTATTGAGTTAGAGTATGGGGTGGATCCACTATTCTGACCAGGTTACCTAGCGATACATCTTACTTGCTTACCAGTAGGACAGTATGCTCTGGTGTTGTCTCAAGCGCCCCATTCACTGCCTTTAGAGAGATTGGCAGCCCTGTATCTGTCTTCTGCAGTGTGAAGCAGGGCACTATGGCCCTGCACAGCCAGCCGCCTGCAGACTGCCTGGAGCACTCTGTGCCCACCTGAGGAGAAACTGTCCTGTGAAAACATGCCTCTAAAGCCAATTAGCCTTCTATTTCTGTTGGAGATCATCTTTCTTTTTTGAGCCTTTATCCTAAAATTCTGCTTCTAACCCTGGAATTTCAAAATACTCTTTTCTTATACAACCTACTGAAATTACTACTTAATGTCATCCAACCACCTTGACCACCACACCCAGAAGCAACTGTTCCTTTTGAGCCCCTTTATACATGCTTCCAAGGTAGTTGTTTAGCTCCTAAGGTAGTGTTCTTTTCAACTACTTTAATAGGAGTCAGCCTCATCTCCTGAGAGATTCCCTAGGGCACTAGGATTTTGTACTTCTTGGAACCCAGCAGCATAGTTGATGTCTCTCAGACTTATATCCATGTGGGATAAGTAACAGTCTTTGTTGTAATAAGTAATGTTTCATGTCATTTTACTAGCCAAAATACTGGCTTTAATAATACTTTCAGCTAAGTGTCACTGGCTCAGACCTGTAATAATGTCTACTCAGAAGGCTGAGATCTAGGATCATAGTTTGAAGCCATCCCAGGCAGAAAAAGTCCATCTCCAAGAATACTCAGCAAAAAGCTGGGCTGGAGGCATGGCTCTAGTGGTAGAGTGAAAGCAAGCTAAGTTAGCACAAGGCCCTGAATTTTTTCCTTCCTCCTAAAAGACTTGATTATGAGCAG